TAGTATACTAAGCACCAAGTTGGACTAGGGTTCAGCGTACTCTCAACATCCAAGAACTACGTGCCAACATAGTCTTAGAAGTTGCCTCTGTTAGGCATTAGATTTTAGTGATCACACCATAATCATGACTTTATACCCTTGACATGGTATATTGGGTCTGCTCGATGGGGCGTATACATCGAACTCCACGTTTAGCTCACATGGTTTATGTCGGTTAAAAGTATTTCCAAGAATTAGACTCTTACTGCATTGACAATGTTTTGAACAGTTACCTCAGTATATAGTTCAACATGTTACCTTCCTGATTAGTACTTGGTCATTGCATCTAGTTTAGTTTTCAGATATACTTTAGTAAAAATATATTTATCCTAGTTCAGATTATATCATTGCTCAGTTATGCATTGTTCAACTTATATTCTTTGTCTAACTTTTGCATATCTATATCTTGCATGCTCAATATATGATGTAGGTTCAGATACTCATCTTCCAAATTACGCATAGATAGATTCTATATTCGACTTAAAAAACTTTAGTGGTGAGTCCTATTGAGGAAAATACACATGCTTTCTGTTTTGGTCTTTACTTTGAGTTTTCTATATTTTTAAAGTTAGCTGGGGGCATGTACCAGCCACTCAACTCAATTGGAGGATTTCCAGGCATCGTTGTAGATTTAACTCAAGTTTATAAGTGTTGTTTCATGCATCAGTAAACTCTTATAATTTATATTTACTTTCAGAGTAGTTGGAGTTTTCCCCATTTTTGATATCCACATGTTTAGATTATGTATAGTATATGATTTACTTAGATATTTTAAGCATGCTGGATATATGTGAGACACATGGTAAACTTGGGGTCACTTGTGATCCTAGGTCCCATGTTACATCTAGGGGTAGCCTTGGGGGTGACAGGTAAGATGCACTATTTTGTTGGTTTTAAATTAGTGCAATGTAATGTTGAGATATTGTCTCTCAAAAGAAGTATGTGCGAGAAATTTTAAACAAGTTTAAGGTGTAGATTGCAATTCAACCAACTTTCCAGTTGAGTTTGGCTTGAAACTGAGCAATGTTGTAGTTGAAAGAAGGTAGACAGCACGACTTACATGCTTATTGTTCGTAGTTTAATGTATGTAGCTCCTAAAAGTCCACCATCATGTATGTTATTAGTGTTTTAAGTAGATATATGGAGTGACCAACAGAAATGAACCGCTTAGCGGCGAAGAGAATTCTCTGTTACTTGCAAGCAACAAAGGATTTTGGAATTTTCTATAGGAAAGGAGAAATTTCAGATTTATCTGACTTTACTTATAATAATTATGCTGGGAATCAAGATGATAGAAAGATCACTTCGTGCTATATTCTTATACTAGGAACAAGGTTGTGTCGTGGTCCTCCAAAAAGCAAACAATTTTCACATTATCAAGTACAGTAAAATTTATTGCTACCAAAGCTTGTGCTTGTCAAGGGGTAATGCTTAGGACCAGAGTCATCTCAACCATAATTGTGCTAAAGTAATCTCTTGGGGACTATATTTTCTCTCAAAGATGCATATCATGGATTAATAAATTTAAAGAAAAAAGTTGTATCGAAGTTATAATTGAAAAAATGAATATTATGCAGTTGATTGTAGTACTTTTGTTATATTATTATATGACTAGTTAATTCTAGTATCCTTTCTAATTTCTTATGTGGATATCTATTTTATTGTCTAGCTCATTTATATTTTGAAGATTATCATGAACCATCAATATTGTATTCTTATATTTACTTCTCTTTATTCTCCTTTCACTATTTTTTATTCTTTCATTGTTGAATAATTGTGAAGTGTCTGAAATGTTATAATATTCTACATTATGTAAAATCAATTGTTATGTGTTTTTATAAGGGAAAAAAATCATAAGTATCCCCCTAGATTATGGAAGAAATTATAGAGAAACACATTAACTAAACTTAGGGTCTATTACCCCTCATGAACTTGTTTTTTTTTTTGTAATTTTGTGCACCATTTTGGCGTACGTGGCATCCAAATATCTCCCACATGCATCAGCTGTGTGGAATCACAGAATGTGTCATGTAAGACAAAAGGTGTATAAAATTACCCAGAAAAAAAAGTTTAGGGGGTAATAGGACCCTAGTTTAGTTAAGGTGTGTCTCTGAAATTTCGGTCATAGTCTAGAGGGGTACTTGTGCATTTTCCCGTTTATAAAAAAAATCAAATTTCTTTTGGTTTCATATTCAAATTCCATGTTTTATTATTCTAACTTTACATAACATAATATTGATTGAAAATTTACATTATTTTTATTCTTACTTCATAATGTCTACACATATCTAATTTCTTCAAACCTCATTTGTATGATTAAACTAAGTATGCTATAATTATTCAATTTATATTTGTCAACTAAAAGTAATAGGGCCTTTTTATAAGATTTGGATTTAGGCCTCTAAATTTGTCGAGATCGGCCTGACTTAGGAGAATCCTTTTTGAGTTGTAGTTCAAGACAGGAAAAGAATCTACACTGTTTTGTGACCAAAATCGTGTCATCAAGTTGTCAAAGAATCTGTGAACCATGAAAAAAGAAAACACATTGAAGTGAAATATTATTTTCTACGAGACCTCACTAATGAAGGAACATTAGAGTTGCAGTACTGCCGAAGTGAAGATCATTTGGTGGACATTTTTCACAAAGCCTCTCAGATTTGTACAGTTCCAAAAGTTGAGGAGGTTGATAGGTATTAACACAATGGAAGAGTTGAAGTAGCTAAAGTTAACCTGAAGCTTTAGAGCTTGTAGTCTAAGGGAGAATGTTAATAAATAAAGTCTTGTTACAGCTTTGTCGTAGTCTTTAGGAGAGTAGTTTATCATGGTTTTGTTTACTTTTTTTAGGATTAGTATTTGTTATGGTTCCTACTTTCTTGCTTAATGTTTTTATATCTTTATGCCAATAAAATCTATACCTCCGGAGTACAAAATATAGTTAGAAAAGGAGTTCCTTTTATTTTCAGCGTATTGACTCTTTTCTCCTTTTTTTTTTGGTTTCTTAAAATTCTTCTTTGTTGTGGATATGTTTACGACCCATCCTAGCTAATCACAAATAACTAATAGAAGCTACGGAAAGAGTCGAATAGGAAAGACAATCTAGCAAATAAAAAAACGACCATGAAGGTCATAACAATTATTTTTTTCGTACTCTTTCTTCTCCACCCTTCAACACAATTTGGCTAGAAACTAACAAAATCAATAGTTATAACAAAAACTATAAATTTCTTCATATAGGATTTGTCCAAATAATAGTAAAATCATTATATAGATTGAATTCATATGTACCCATATGTATTTTGTTAAGAGACAATAGGTTATTAAATTTTTATGATTCTTTATTAGAAGTAGGATAAAGTAACCTTGCCAATAGCATGGTATACTTTAATTGCTATCCGAACTATTCAATAAATAATAATGATCCAAACATAATTGATACATTAACATTAAATGTTAAAATTAAAAATATAAATAGTAAGGATACTACTAGGAAATTAGTCATAATATATGGAACCAAGACATATGAGCACATCTAGATCCAATCTATATCATGGTTTGACAGCTACCTAGACAATTCCTAAGTGAAAAAATTCTAATGGGGGAACTGTAGACTCAACTACTTTATTATTTTAAGTAGTACACCATTTGTTAACAAGCATGTTTAACAACTCTTTTTGGTCATCTAATTTTCATGCGTATTCAAACCATTTAAAATTTTTTATGTTACATTTTAATATTTTCATATCACTAAGCCATTTATTTCTAAAGGTTAATTTTTCTGATAAAGAGTATCTTTGTACATACCATTGTTTTTTAATATAATTTCCATGACTTTTCCAAAGTTTATCTAAATATTTTATATCTGGTTCAAAAGGTTCATCTAATCTAATCATGCATAAAACATCCTTTATTTCTTTACTAGTAGTGGGATTAGTAGACTTTATCGGTTTAGAATTTTTAATTTCATATTCTACTTTGGGAATAGTTTCTTAGAATCCTACCCCTTTAACTTTTCATCTAGAACTTCTAAGGATATTTCCTCCTTCTCCTTTGTTATGAAGATGATGGTCTAGAAATGAAATTCGTTTACTTGAAGAGATTTGATCATAAGAATGGGATTTTACAAATTGTAAATCTATGGATCCATCAGGAAATTGAATTACTTGATCAATATATGGATTCTCTTCTTTCATTTATTGCTCTGTTATGGAGTCAAAATGTCAATCATCTTTTGTTATTATGTCATCCCATTTTATTATTTTTGGGGCAAAAGTATTATTATGGTTATGATTTGCTTCTATGAGCATGGTTACTCCTTTATTACTTACTATTTTAGCCTTAGGGGCTAAGGTAGTTTTCATTAGTCTATAATATACCCTATATATTATGGCTATTTCTCTAGTATTAGCTTTACTGTTCATATTTTTAGCTTTAACATTTAAAGTTAATGGATCAATTATGTTTTGATCATTATTATCTATTGATTATGAGGATAACAGTTAAAGAATGTCGAGTCATTGGCAAGGTTACTTTGTAGTACTGTTAATAATGAATCATCACATATTAAAAGATATTGTCTGTTATTATGTATTACCAAATTTCAAGATGATTTAATAAATAAATAATTATTATACTAGAAAAAATTATTATAAGAAACCATCATGTTCGAAAATGCAGTACGAAGAAATGAGTTTCTATCTCATACTTCGCATTCGAGAAGAGAAATAGCTCAAGAGAACTTCCCTTTCGGATATGCAGTATGAAGAAAACTTTTGGATTAAATACATAAGCAAATGTAAGTCTAAAAAAGATTTCTTTCTGATAACACATCTGAAAAGCAAAAAGGACAATATCAAAATTCCAAAAATCTAGTGACATTAGTGACAATCCTCTAGAACATCGAAGTATAAAAACATGTACTACATAGTCTATGAAAAGGAAAGTTAGGAAAAGAGCATAACTACCTCAAAAATTCGAGTACTCTGCTAGCAACGAAGACCACCATAACTACCTCTTCCCGGCTCAGAATCTAGACAATGAAGGTGCAGAAAAGGTAACGACATAATACATAAACGGCATAATACATAAATATATCATTTAACTTGGCTTCAAATCACAGTTATGCCCTTCAACTTTGGGTCTGCATAAGTACACATTTAAACTTGTATAAAATTGAACAAATAGACACACATGTCCTATATGTCATCTTACATGACATTTTTTGTCCTATGTGGTGTCCTACGTGTATTTTGTCATGTAGGACTCCTATATTTATTTGTTTAAAAGTTGGATAGTTAGAGTGTCTGTTTGTTCATTATGAAAGTTGGAGGTCAAAGTTAAAATTTGAAGTCAAGTTTGGGTTCAATATATGTATTATGCCTATATAAACACATACATGTACTCAACGTCATCGACAAACCCTAACATGAGTTTATGATACGGGTTTGTTTTATACTGACTTGTTTAGTACTAAATCATGTATTTTAATACACTTATTTATAGATCCAGACTAGAAACTCAAAATAATATTGTATCAGTAAAAGAAAACATCGAAATAAAGGTCAAGCTATGGATTGTTAATAAACCAAGTCCATCACCACTTAATCACTTATCACCTTATATTAGTACACCTGCTCTTGGTTGTATATACGCATCTAATCACTATATTTTATCCATGATCTAGCTAAGTTCTGAGTATAATCTTATAAATATAGATGTGTTTATTGCATATTTGTTTGATAATCTTATAGACATGATTAAACTAATTTTAGGCCAAAACAACAAGTAAGGACCTAAAAGTTGGATTGAAATGCAAAGAAATGTGTCCCACGCACTAAAACATAGCCAAAGTTGATGCAAGAATGGAGTTCGCAGCGAAGGTACACCTCGCTATGAGCCCATGTTGCACCTATTATGATATAAAATTTTGAAACTAAAAATTTATGCGTGAATTTATTGTGCATGAAGGAGGAAGGAGTCCAAAATGAACTTTGTAGTGTGCCCATTGGGATATGTGATCGGGTCCACGCCACGACCCTCTCATGGACTGATATGACCAAATCAAAGTATAGTTCAATTGGATTATGATTTCAACCTTACTACTACAAATAAGTTATTAAGATGACATTTTAGAATTACACATTATTTTTAAAGGTTATAAATCATTTTTTAGGGTTAGAGATTATTCATAATACAGAATATTCATTATTCTTACCATTTAAGGGTTCAATTATTGTTTTCTAACTATTGTGGAATGGACAAGATTCTCTTGCAAGGGTAATATTAATCAAATGTTTTATTTACGTTCTTTTATCATGTTCTTTAATAGTTTAAATTACTTTAGTTAATATATGCAACTAGTTATGAGTAGAAAACTCATAACTAGGGTTATGGATCTTAGAGCTTGTCTTACATTGATGCTAAAAGCTAATTATTTTCATAAGCACTTTTTTAAAATAGCTATTCAGAAAAGTGTTTTTGAAAAAAAAAATTATGTTTGGCTAATTCATTTCAAAAGTGTTTTTATAAGAAAATTTTCGTTTGACTAATTTTTTCTGAAAGTGTTTTTTAGAGTCAAATTACAACTAAGGACAAGTATCAATGTATTTTTAATATTATGATTATTTTATAGAGAACAAAATAGTTTAAACATCTATTAAAAGAAAATAAATTTAATGTTTATTTTTATGAAATTAAAATGTTCATATTCAATTTTTCAGTCAATATTATATATTTTTTTGAAGGGTTGAAATAATTAAATGATATTATTTTTCTCTTTTTCTATTTTTACAAAAGATGTTGTTACCTTCTTCTTATTTTCTAATTCTTATTTTCTATTTCTTATATATATATATATATATATATATATATATATATATATATATATATATATATATATATACACCTTTCGTTATACTTTTGGGATACCAATGCCCTTATCGTTCAAATTTTGGGTGTGTATATCCTTTGAAATAAAAGAGAGACACGTGTCATCCCGAACTATTCTAAATGATATTTAAATACCTTTTGTTATACTTTTGGGACACCAATCCCCTTATCGTACAAATTTTGGGTGTGTATATCCTTTGAAGTAAAAGAGAGACACGTGTCATAATCTAAACAACCTTTCAAACAAAAAAATTTTTATGCATAATTTAAAAGTTCACCCAAGACCCACCGAAACAAGTATAACCCAAAAAAAAAATAGATCCATACCCAAATAAACTCATTTTACCTTTGTTCATTATTCAACCACCGAAACACCCCCAAGAAATAGTTCAACACAGAAACTCCAACACAACATTCTTCTCCGACGGAAGTTGCAAAAAAACTGCCAATACCTAATTATAACGGAACCCCCTTCCCCTACGTATATATGTTCTTCTCTTATGTAATTGATAAACCTGATGAAGGTAGCACAAAAGTGAGACAATAATAACATGTTTGAGTTCAAGAAGGATAGGAAGATGGATAAAGGAGAGAGAGACTTATTCATTTATTTTGATCTCTTGAGATGTTAGTGACATATTTTGATTGCTAAATCATCACTAGCTACTAAAAATCGACAACACCCAATTGTTTATAGTTTCTACATTTACTAAGGAAAAAATATATAACTTTTGAGACTATAAATCCATTTGAAGTTTGTTGGTTCAGCTCGTCGATGAGATTGGAATACCAATGAAGGAGAGATGAGTTCAAGATGACCATGTTTTATGTTGACCGAAGGGTCATTGCGTCACTGATACACTGGAGCAAGGAAGACTAAGTTAGTTAGCGATAACAAGTGATTTGGTTTGTGGAGCGAGGGAGGCTGAGTTTAGTAGCAATAATAACTGATTTTGTTTGTGAAACTTCATCGAAAAAGATGAGTTGCGGTCGTGTCTTAAGTTCCGGTGAGTAGTTGGTAATTGGTTGTAGTTGGTGGATGGAACAATGAAGAAAAGAAAAATGGAGTTTCTTTGGGATTTGGTCTTTTGGGTTTTTTTCTCAAGTTATAATATCTGGTGCGTTTTTGGTGGGCTTTTTGGTATGAATAAAAAAAATAAAATAAATTTTGTATAGACCGTTGATATTATGACACATGTCTCTCAGTTAAATTTTGGGTTACTATTCTTTGAGATTGACCACTTTATCCCAATAGAGGGTGTAGTTTGGGAACCATTAAAATTTTAGCACCTTTGTCATGGAGTGTAGTTACGAGATTTATAGTTTGTAGAAATTTATCAAGTAGTTGCTATTTTTTATATTACATTGATTGTTGTTTTGTTCATTTTAATTTCCCATAGTTTCTGACTTATTCTGGGAGTCAACAATCTCCCGTTGTTCCTTTTGATCCGAAAATTGAAAGAACAGTCAGATATATGAGGTCCATTTTATAATGGGTCATCAGAATAATGAAAGAGTAGAAGATGAGGTTATTGGAAAAGTATATGCACAACAGAAGCATATCTGAATCATAGTGTTTACATGAATAATAGATAACCAAAAGATTTATGCTACAACACATATAATATGCTAGAACACACAAACTTACTGGAACTTAATTCAAGAATTACCTCTTGAAACTCGAGAACAAACCTTGAAGCGAATCTACAAGATAGATAGTAACTATGGTTTTCCACAATGATACAAAGTTCACAACCAAACTCTCTCATTGGGTGGGCAAGTATTAATATAAACCTTTAATCTTTCTAAGAATTCCTAATTATAGAGGTTTCTTCCTAATTCAAAGAGGAGAACCAAAACACACCGTAATTTTTGCCAACTGAAAAATTCGCGCTAGTTTTGTTTCTAACAGATAACTAATATCTCTCCCCCTTTTCCTCTAGAATTAGGGTTCTGAATTTAGTTAAATATGTGCACTATAGGAACCACATAATTAATTATTGAGGTCGCCACCACAAGAAAGAACTTCCTTTTAAATTTATTCATTTCTAAAACTATCATTCATCTTTCATATAAAAAGATGTGACTTTTATGAAAAGTTGTGACTTTAATAAAGAGTTGTGACTTTTATGAAAAGTTGTGACTTTAATAAAGAGTTGTGACTTTATGAAAAGTTGTTACTTTAATAAAGAGTTGTGACTTTTATGAAATGTTGTAAAGCAATTTTATGAAAAGTAGAGACTTATATGAACGTTTGTGAACATTTCGAAAGGTTGTAGCTTTACCAAATAGTTGTAACATTTCTGATAAGACACAATAAACAGTTGTTCACTCTACCCTTTGTTGTCTATAAATAGAGATATTTTTTTTCCTTTCATTTTAAAACAACAAAGAATATGATCTTCTTCTTCTACATCCGGAAAATTAAATATTCATGTACTTTGCTCCTGTTGAATGACTTACTGACACCATTATTTTTTACCAATATGTTGGTGAATAAAATTGTTTTGATCGTTAGAGGATGTAATTCATTAAACCTCTGGTTTTTAAGGTGAATAATTTTTCTAATGAGACATTGTGCATTGAGTTGACTAAATTTTTTCCTTTCTATTTCATTCTATTTTTACATATCTTGTTATGTTTTCTTACACTCATTAAGTTTTGTCTATAATATTAATTGTTTTTTTTACTACATATTTTAAACTCCTCTTTTATGTTTCTGCAAAATTATTGTCTCTAGTTATATTGAACATATACGCATATAGTATGTATATTCATTATGCAAAAAATAATTATTGTACTCAGTTCTAAGAATTTATATTTTGATACTATTTTAAATTTTATAACTTGAGTTTAGTATATATAAGCTTATATATTGTCTATTTTTACATACATGTGAAATTTCTCACTTATATTCTATGCAACTTAAATGTTCTATGTATTACGAATTGCCTTTGTATATATATTCTTATTTTCTTTTTGTTCTTTTAATATTGATTACATAACCAACATTTTATTATTTTGTGAATAATTCATTCATTAAAAGTTCTTGACTTATGTGATAATGACAAATAATCAAATTCATATTGGAATATTGCTAATATTTTTTTAAAACCTATTTTTCTATTATTCTTAATATATGGATATTAATAATAAAAATTAATTTGAAAGTCAATGCAATTATTGTTTATATAAAAATCGACATATTTACTAAAATGAGTGTTTTAAGTTGGAAGTACTACAATAATTTAACATTTAAGCTAGTGAATCCATGCTTTTTAAGTTATATTGAGTTGTAATAATTTTGTTTATATTTAAAAAATATGTGATTAAAATCAACTATACATTGAAAACAACTATTTTAAACTAAGTTAAGAAATCAAGCGTATCCCACATTATCATAATTTATAATCAATATTCATTAATTTAGTTTAATGAAAGAGAGAACTCTCAAACCATGAATCAACAAACAATCCTTTTTGTACTTATCATGAGTCCAATTTGTTCACGTAGCTTAAGCTTAAGGTTCCCCATCTTACAGTCACTTACTTTTTCATACTACGTCGGTGAAATTAATGGATTCCTAATGACAATTAGTTCTTCCAAGAGACACTTGCCCATTTCAGAAATAAATATTCAATCTTATTTACCCATTCCTCTTTCTCTAGGGGAAGAAGTTCCTTGTCTTCAAACTAGAATATTCAAGGAAGTGTTTCTTTGACTGAAACATGTTTCTTTTCTTCTGGAGGAGTGAGTCTATTATGATTATTCTAGTCCTTTATACGAGGATTAACACTCCTTGTAATCAAACCCCTCCTCATTTGACTCCTCTTAATCAGATTCCTCTTCATAAGACTCCTCAACATTCTTATTCCTTGACTTGTCCACATAACGTGGTCGAAGAAGTATGTTTGGTCTTTGTTGTGTTTTTTCCACAAAACGAGGTCGATGAAGTATGTTTGGTCTTTGTTGTGGTTTTCACCCTCAACAACAAGTTCAGGTACAATAATTACATTAGGTCCACTTTCATCCTCCAAACTGTGAGATATTTTCTCATAAGTTCCTTGAATAAATTTTCTCCACTTGTCACCTCTAGAAAGCTCCACCATTCTTCATTTCCTTCCTACCTCTCCAATATTCCCAACAACTTCACAGTCCTCTTCAGACTCCGTGTCATCACTTCGAAGAATCGGGACTTTATTCTTTTAACCCTCAATAGTAAGTGGAGGACTTCCCAATGGGATATCCATAAGAAAGGCCATTTCTCATGAGTCCCATTGTCCAGCATTCATTTTTCATAACCCCATTCACAAGTAGTGTATCTCAATGCGGTAATGGGATATTAACAATTTTGAAAAAACAATCATGAAACAAAGTCATCCCTTGAATTCGTGTGAATATGCACCTGAGTCAAATTACACAATCATTATTACACTAATAATTTATCAGAAAATAATTAAGTTTGTCTTAAACTTCCAAAATGGCAAATATTTTTTTATTTGGAAGTCAAAGATAAAATTAATTATTTTATGATAATTTTTTAGTATACTAATGTTTTTGAAATTTGACTTAGGTGCATATTTATGGATTCCGAAGATGGTTTTGTTTCAAAATGGTTTTGTCGAAATTGTAAGAGTCCCATTAAAAAATTGGTTATACAACTTGTGAATGTGGGTGTGACGATGAGACTCACGAGAAATGGCCTTTCTTTTGGGATATCCATTGGGGAGTCCTCCACTTACAGTTCGGGGTGAAAATAATAAAATTTTGATTCTTTTAAGTGATTACAATGAGTCTAAAGAGTACTGTGAAGTTGGTGAGGATATTGGAAGGAAAAGAAGAATGGTGGAACGTTCTAGAGGTAACAAGAGGAGGAAGTTTATTCCAGTAACTTGTGAGGAAATATCTGATAGTTTGGAAAGAGGAGAATGATCATGATATAGTAATTTTACCTCACCTTGTTATTGAGGATCAAAACAACGACAAAGACTGAATATATCTTCTTCGGCTACGCTCTATGGACAAGTCTAAGTATAAGAATTATAAGGAGTCTACTGAGGAGGATTATGATGAAGAGGAGACAGAAGAGGAGAGGTTTGATTAGGAGGAGTGTAAATCTTTGTATAAAGAGGATTGAGGTGATTATAATTAACTCACTCCTCCATAATAGAATGAAAATGTTTCTGTCAACAAAGCACTTCATTTAATATTTTTGTTTGAAGAAGAGGAACCTCTTTATCCAAAGAAATAATAATGGGAAAAGAAAATTTCAGAACTTTTTTCTGAAATTGGCATGTGTCTCTTGCAAGAACTAATTGGCTTTATGATTCCAGCAGGTATGCTGATATGGAATGAAAAAAGTAAGTGACTGTCACATGGGGAACCATAAGCTTAATCTAGACGAACATATTGAACTCTTCGCAATAATTTCTAAAATCCTACTAAGTGTATGAAATTATTCATTAACTAGAAATTTAAATTTAGAAAAACAATACTAGTAAAAATAACTGACAAAATGGTGGACAAAGACATAGAAAGATTTTTTAACAAAATGATGTAACACTATGTAGACAACTATTTAAGTTGAATCTTGATTGTCCATCTACCTTTTACAGATTCACTAAATCATCTTTGTGTTTTCAAGAATAGGCACATTATACTCTTGATATGTTTTCAAATCTAAGAAACGAGAAGGGGGGTTGGTGGAATAGAATTTTTTTACAAAGATAATAGATTGAATCGTGATATCTAGTATCAAACTATAAAAATACTCAAATAATCTTAAGAAGACAAATCACGTTATCTATAGCACCAAGTAATTCTTGTTTGGTTAAATGATTCTTTGGTTATTAAACACTAAAGCCAAGTCTTGGATGTCATATACTTGCATATACAATAGACGCAAATAAGCACAAATATATATTATTATTATTGGAGTTGTAAATAATATTTCAATATGTTAAAATAATCATAGAAATAACAAATTAAATACCATGTTGTGTATGTTCCAAGATATAGGCAAGATACATTATGAGGTATTATGGACCTATCTAAAGCCTTGAGAGCCTTTTGAATCTAGGTTTGTTGTGTAAAAAATTAGTTCACATTAGATTAGAAATCCAAAGTGTAGTATATAGATCCCTATCATTAGATAGAGTTTAATATGGATTAAATTAACATAATCAATTAATAAAAACTAATATTATATTCCTTAAATTTAATATTAGCAATATAAATTATTGGGATGGAAAATAAAGCCTTTGATTAAGACATCAGGAGAATTTGGATATCTCCATGAAAATCAAAGATACATCAAAGAGGAGGAAACAAATAAAACAAAATGTAGAAATGAAGGAGAGGAGCTTACAAAGGATGTCTTCAATAACCCTCATGACATGGTACCTCTTTCAAAATTATCTTCGAAACCACTACATCCACTGAAAGATACCTCTATAAAATTAAAAAAATTAAATTAAGTATCGATAGAATTTAAGGAAATGAGGATGTAAATGGGGGTAACTAATTACTTCTGTGAACGGAGAAAGAATAGAAGATATCGGAGGTAGGTGTGATTCACCCACAACCTAAAGAAATGGAAAACCAGGGCAATGTTAATTTGTGGAGATGGACGAGGAGACAAGGAATGTAGAAAGTATGCGAAGACAATAGGAGGATAAGAAAGAAGCAATTCTTTGTAAGAAAAATTTATAAAGCCCTAGCCAATTCTCTTAATGAACTGGGCCTGGATACTGTTTTTTTTTTTTTGCTTTTTGTTTATTTCATTTGGTCTTCTTTATCCATTTTTTTCATAAATTTTTTTATAAAGGGTCCTTAAGTTCTATCAAATTTATCTAAAAATATAAAAATTAAATTAAATTATATAACAAAGAGAGAAATTTTCGATGTGAGTACTGTTATATAACACCAACGCTTCAATATATAATTCAGATACACATTGTAGAAAATTAATATCACATTTTAATTGCAATAATCAAGTGAATTATCAGTTTTCTATAACCTGCATAGAAAAATAGTGTAGGAACTCATGTAACACCTGACAACTCTACTCGTCGTAAGTATATGAGTTTTAACAAGACGATTTCATACATGCACATGTGTTTAAGGTCTTTGACCAAGCATATAAAGGTAATCAAATGTTATTTAGGGTAATAAGGGAACTTTAACACCAAGAGAAAAAGCGCTTGTATCAACTATAATTTCACATGAGTACATATAAGGTTAAACTTTGAACAACTATATCTCTTAGAATATTAAGATTTAGGTGACCCATACCTTATCAAATTAAAAGGCTATGAGTATTCTTTCCAAAGTTTCCAAGTTTGCATCAATCCAAGATGAGTAAAATGGTTTGACTGATTTACGAGAGAAACTCTAACTTGGCAAAAGTTCTGTGATGACTCTGTGACAAAGAGTGATACTGTACCTCATTCTTTGCTAAAACAATAAAACCCTCTTTTTCACTCCAAAATTTCTTGTCTCATGAACTTCGAGAAATACCAAGGGTAGGGTTCTATCTTTTATGATTTTTCTTCACTATTTGTCACTAAGGTATGTAAGACTTCAATAATAATATTCTTTTCACTCTCATGCCTAAACTATTTTAATATATAAGCAATTATGTTTAAATATAGGGTTTTACCCAATATTTCAAGCTATGATTCTTTGAAAAAGTTCAAGTTTTTATCAATGATTTCTTAAACATATTAATGAACAAGTTCAGGTTACGTGCATTGAAAGTTTATCTCTAAAACTTAATTGTCTATGATATCATAAATGATAAGTTTTGTAAAATATATGATAGGACATACTTTGTGATATGAATTAAAAATAACATATAAAAAGAATAAAACCCAAATGATCAATTATCTTACAAAAACATATATACACAAAGATTTTATGATGATGCTAAAATCTTGTACTGAGTTATCATACATTATTAAAAAGTTTATTCCTTACGTTCTCATCTACATTAATGAATTGTCTCATTTTGTCTTTATTTTTCTCTTTTCACCTAAACTTGAAGCACTTGTTTGAACCATATGTTTTTACATTTATATGTAACGCTCGGGTTTTGTCGTTAAAGAAATGCTAATGGAGAAAAATTGGGACTGGAAAAACTTTTTTATGGTACTAGGAATTTTCCACCCTCATCAAGATTTAGAGGAATTTAGAATTATCACGGTTTAAGGAAATTCGGTAGCATTCAGACATATTAAATGTTTGTTTAATTACATAATCGGTTAGATAAGTCATTAGAAAATCTGTGTGACTTACGAAATTGAATTTGGATAAGTATCATCATCGGGAATTTATTTTGGCGTTGAGGGAATTTTCTTAGCGTAGTGAGTTCAGATGTTGTTTTAAAAAGGGAAGAGTTAAATTCCCTTAAGGAGCTCACTACCTGGCTTCGTGCCGCTACCACGGGTTTCATGCCACTGCAGCGATGATGCTATAGCGAAAGGGGTGTCACTGTATCGGGCGAGACAGAGATAGAATGAAAGGATATTGAAATTTTTCAAGGGAAGCTCACTGGTTCACTTTGTGCTGCAGCATTGGGATTAGTGTCACTCCAACGACACTACTACAACGGGATAGGAGCCTCTGTAGCAGGATGATTGGCTTAAAATTTGTGAATAAAACCCTTACACGACTTTATTTTGTTCTTTTTGTCTTTTTTGAGCTAAGAGACTACCCTTGGGCTATTCCAAGTATATTTCCACCATTCTTGAAGCTAGATGTAAGCTTTTCACTCCCTCAACTCATTTTTTGATAAAATGTTTTATAATGGGTCAATATTGATGGGGAAGGATATTTCGAAGAATTCTATGGTGGAATTAACCTTAATTGACTAGTTTGGGTCATGGGTTTTGAACTAGGGTTCATAGATTGTATGTTTTTTGGGAATTTAGTGTTTACTTATTTGTTTTCGTATATAAATTAGTGATTGTATACCACGAACAAGCAGAACGAATCTAAAAAGGGAAGGATCAAGTTGTCTACAACTTCAAGCTTATTTCGAGTAACAATATCCTTGACCCTTAACTATGTGCCAACATAGGACTCTAGATTAGTGGATCCACCTAGATAGCTATGTACGAAAGATTACACCTTAGGCAAGTGATAACCCCCTCTTTTCGGTGTGGGAGTAGAACACACATTCCATGTAGCTCTTATCGTCTTATGTCAATTATTGCAACCTTTTTCCTAATGTAAAAATAGATGAATAAATGAAACGTATGAACTTTGACAAGGGCTTTCTTCAGGGGTTCTACATAGTGTGAGGGAGGGCATGGGACTTCTTTTAAACATTGCATTTGTAGGATCCTAAGAGATAGTTGTAGTAGTGTTCTTTTGTGATTATGTTTATTAGAACTTACGTATGTTAAGCCCTGTATGATCTTTTTGTATATGGAAAGTCATGATGAAATATAAGATTATGAATGAATGCATGAAGTAGCTTGCTTAATGTGATACTTAGATTTTTATAGCGTTATGGGATTATATTTTTTCCACTGCACAAGTATTGTTTGGGTTGCCTACATGTTGAGACGATATTATGTTGGGATGGCTTATAATGCTTAATTTATGTGCACATTTTTTTTACTTAATAAAAAACATGTTTTTACTAAAATGTTCTTGTATGAATGTTTCACTAGTTTTTATACATAAAAGTCATACTTAGTTTGTGTGATGTACCAACGCATATTTTCTTCCCTTTTACCAAACAATGTAGGTTTGGGGCATTGAGGATCCAAGGCCATTTCTCAAGGATACTTGGAATTTTATTCCAAGTTGGTGAGTCCTTAGGTCCGAGTACAAGACCCTTATGTCCTAGCTTTTAGTTCTTTGCTTATTTTAGAAAACGTTGTTGTATTTGCTATTTCTAGACTCCATATGTTGTGACAAAGTTAGTTTCTATTTTCTTATATGAATCTAAGTTGAAATTCCAAAGAAAAAGTTTTTATTTTTTCAAATTTTTATTCTATGATACGTGCTATGATGTATGCTAAGGGCTTGTCTAAGACCTCTTCGGGGACGAGGATGTCAGTTACGACTAGGGGGTGCTTTACGGTCATGACAAATTATTACATCAAAATCTTGATTAACATATTTTTACTTCAGTATAATGATCAAAGGAATAAACATAACCAAAAAACTTTCAAACATAACTAAAAATAAAAATTAATCGTAAAATAATGACCGTATAAAACATACAAGAATATTTTTAATAATAAAATGAAACAGAATAGAAAACATTAAGTCCACGGAATGCACGATGTTCCCTTAATGAAATTATTTCATTCGAGTGCCCGAGGTTTAAAGGAGTAGATCCTCTCACGATAGAACGATTTTATTCTCTAGTGTGTTGATTAGAAATAAAATAGTTTCAGTGAGTCACTCAACATGAGCAAAGTACACAAATATTTAATTGTGCAGAAGAAGAAGAAGTTGAGCATTTTCATTTTTTTAAAATGAGAGGAAACCTCTCTATTTATAGACAACAAAGGGCATTGTGAAGAAATGCTTATTGTGTCTTATCGGAAAGGTCACAACTCTTTGGAAAAAATCACAATATTTCATAAAACTCATAATTTTTATAAAATTTGCAACTCTTCATAGAAGTAGCATCTCTTCTTTAACATTTCAACTCTTCATAAAAGTCGCAACTCTTCGTAAAAGTCGCAACTTTTCATAAAGCCATAACTTTGCATAAAGCCACAATTTACATGAAAGTAAAGGCTAATTTTAATAATAAATAAGTTAATAAGAGAATTCTAGTTTGTGGTGGCGCCACATAGGCGGGTTTAGGGTTCTCTTTTATATAAATTCTAGTCTTTACTCACATGCGTTTCACATATACCCTATCAATTAATATTGAGTTTTAAAAAGGAAACAAGTATTAAATATATAAATGAGATAAAGTAGATTATTTTTTTAAAAAGAAAGAAATATGCTCGTAAACTTAAAACAATGAAGGGTGATATTTATACTCCAAATTTTGTGAATCAATTGAAAAACCAGATAATTTTACCCTATTATCAAATATAGATATGGCAACCATATAGTTATTCATTGGTTACTTGTATTACATATTTGCATGAATTTTAATTTTTTCAATTTAATTGTTACCATAAAAGTGAGATTCAACCTTATTATTGTAATTGTTAACATAAAAGTGACATTACTACGAAGACTTTCAGAAAGGTAATGTCTCAACAATACTATAATATGTGTTGAAACTAATAAATACATTTCTTAAAGGATGAAAAAGTATGCTAAAGAACCAACAAAAATTGAAATCCAAAGGTTAAAAATAGAAAGTATCACATAACATATAAAATTGAGCAATACCTCGAGAGTACATTTCAAAATTATTACAAATTCATCCAAAAAATAGAAATAAAAAAATATTCAAGGGCACAACATATTAACAAGACCACAAAAAAATAAAATTATTGTCGCGTAGACCTTTTCTAGTTTAGATAGAAAGCACACTGAGGCTAAGCAAATCAAATACCATAAAATTAACAAAAGAAAAATGATACTCAAAGAATACATCAAAATCACTAAACATTAAGAAAGAAGAATTAAAATCACATAGCACGAAAAAAAACTCATACAAAATTAACAAATTGTATTACAGATTATCAACACAATTTGACGAAAACAAGATCAAAAACTTGAAGAAAATATATTTAAATACAATTTAAAAATTCAAGATTAAACAAATAAAGTAATAAAAAGGAAAAAACATAAAGCTTCAATATGAAAGAAATAACCTTTAGTGTCTCTGTTACTTCTTGTATATCTTTAATTTTCCGTATTAACAACAAACAGTGACAAGAAATAATCAATGACACAAGTCCCAAGCCAAAATTAAATTGATTTTTGATAAATAAGAATTAATATACACATTTATTAAGGAAATTGCAACTTTTGGTCTTTCCTCTTCATTGTAACTATTTCCCAATGAATTTGAACCATTGTGTCTAGACGCATGAATTTAAATAAAATTACTATTTAATATTAAATTAATTTGATA